CACGCCAATGCAAATTGTACACCAGTGGAGAGAGTAAGGAACACGGGGATGTCTGTGGTGGAGGAAACACATCCAATCTAGGATGAAATTCCTCTGTTTGCTGTGTGCCATAGAAAAGAATAGGAAAGGGTTAAGGGAGAGGAAGTGGGCACGCCAATGCAAATTATACACCAGTGGAGAGAGTAAGGAACACGGGGATGTCTGTGGTGGAGGAAACACATCCAATCTAGGATGAAATTCCTCTGTTTGCTGTGTGCCATAGAAACGAATAGGAAAGGGTTAAGGGAGAGGAAGTGAGCATGTCAATACAAATTCTACACCAATGGGGAGAGTAAGGAACACAGGGATGTCTGTGGTGGAGGAAACACATCCAATCTAGGATGAAATCTTTCTGTTTGCTGTGTGCCATAGAAAAGAATAGGAAAGGGTTAAGGGAGAGGAAGTGGGCACGTCAATGCAAATTCTACACCAATGGAGAGAGTAAGGAACACGGGGATGCCTGTGGTGGAGGAAACACATCCAATCTAGAATGAAATTCCTCTGATTGCTGTGGAATCATTGGGTTCATAGTTTGGAAAGGCCTAGCCGGAATGATTTCACGTCAACGCTCCAAGGACGGCACATCAGCAAACTGCAAAGACAGGGCAGTTCAAAGTGGAATCAAACCGCTTCAACGTGGAACGTGCGGACAGACCCGAATCTTGATGGATCGTTGCAATTCCATTAAGGGCCATTCCTGACAATGGCTTCCTTTCTTTGCAAGGCCCGGATATCGGATGTCCTGTAACCGGAGTGCTTTATTTTGCGCCTAATCACCTCTCGGCATCTCTAATGCGGACGTTTCCTACCGACCAAGCAGCTGTTTGGTTTCGTCGTAATTAAAAGGTCTTCCTTTGCTGCCATCCCTCCTTTGCAAACGTGCAAACTTTTGGGGTGTCTGCACTGCATCAATAATGCGGTTTGATAACACTCGAACTAAGATAGCTTCCTGAGAGTTGTAGTTTGGCAAGTTCCTTTGCTAAAGAAGGGTAACACGCTTGATTCCTAATGTTCGACATTGACACAAATGACCAGCCACTGCCAGAAGGGACAGAGAGTTTCATCTACGCTAACGATCCTGCCATCACCGCTCAAACAGAAAACTTTGAAATGATTGAACAGAAGCTCTCCAAAGCTTTAGGCACTCTTACTGGCTATTACAGGGAAAACCAGCTGATTCCTAATGTTTAACGTTGACACAAATGTCCAGCCATTGCCATAAGGGACAGAGAGTTTCATCTATGCTGACGATCATGCCATCACCGCCCGAGCAGAGAGCTTTGAAATGGTTGAAGCTTGAGGTGCTCTTACTGCCTATTACAAGGAAAGCCAGCTGATTCCTAATGTTTAACATTGACGCACATGACCAGTCACTGCCAGAAGGGATGGAGAATTTCATCTACGCTGACGATCATGCCATCACCGCTCAAGCAGAAAGCTTTGAAATGATTGAACAGAAGCTCTCTGAAGCTTTAGGTGCTCTTACTGCCTATGACAGGGAAAACCAGCTGATTCCTAATGTTTAACATTGACACAAATGACCAGCCACTGCCAGAAGGGACAGAGAGTTTCATCTACGCTGACGATCACACCATCACTGCCCAAGCAGAGAGCTTTGAGATGGTGGAACAAAAGCTCTCCAAAGCTTTAGACGCTCTTACTGCCTATGACAGGGAAAACCAGCTGATTCTTAATGTTTAACATTGACACAAATGATCAGCCATTGCCAGAAGGGACAGAAAATTTCATCTATGCCAACGATCATGCCATCACCGCTCAAGTAGGGAGCTTTGAAATAGTTGAAGCTTGAGGTGCTCTGACTGCCTATTACAAGGAAAGCCAGCTGATTCCTAATGTTTAACATTGACACAAATGGCCAGCCACTGCCAGAAGGGACAGAGAGTTTCATCTATGCTGATGATCATGCCATCACCGCTCAAACAGAGAGCTTTGAAATGGTTGAACAGAAGCTCTCCAAAGCTTTAGATGTTTTTACTGCCTATGACAGGAAAACCCAGCTGATTCCTAATGTTTAGGAATTGTATTCAACGCTGCGAATCAACGCAACACAGTCACACTCCACACTACAACAATAACAACAACAACCACAAGTGGGCACTACTGCTGCAGACAAATTTCGGTAACATTGGTACTGTAGGGATTGTATTCAACGCTGCGAATCAACACAACACACACTCCAAACAACAACAACAACAAGTGGGCACTACTGCTGCAGACAAATTTTGGTAGCATAGGTACTTGAAGGGATTGTATTCAACGCTGAGAATCGATGCAACACACTTGCACTCCGAACAACAACAACAACAACACAACAACAACAACACAACAACAACAACAATAATAAGAAGAAGTGGGTACTACAGTTGCAGACAAATTTTGGTAGCATAAGTACTATAGGGATTGTATTCAAAGCTGCGAATCAACACAACACACTTACACTCCAAACAACAACAACAACAACAAGTAGGTACTACTGTTGCAGACAAATTTTGGTAGCATAAGTACTATAGGGATTGTATTAAATGCTGCGAATCAACACAACACACTCGCACTCCAAACAACAACAACAACAACAACAACAACAACAACAACAAGTGGGTACTACTGCTGCAGACAAATTTCGGTAGCATAGGTACTGTAGGGATTGTATTCAACGCTGTGAATCAACACAACACACTCACACTTCAAACAACAACAACAACACAACAACAACAACAACAACAAGTGGGTACTACTGTTGCAGAGAAATTTTGGTAGCATAGGTACTGTAGGGATTGTATTCAATGCTGCGAATCAATACAACACACACTCCAAACAATAACAACAACAACAAGAACAACAACAACAAGTAGGCACTACTGTTCCAGACAAATTTCGGTAGCATTGGTCCAATGAAGCTGGGAACACTCCAATTCCCATTATCCTCCACATCTCATGTAACACACAAATATCGCATCCCAGGGCTTTGCCCTTCCCTTCGCCCAGAGCTTGGAATGAATGTTTTGGTGAACTACAACTCCCAGAATCTCCCACCAGAATCTGGAGTTGTAGTTCACAAGGAAAGAGACGCCAAGGCAACTTCAGATCAAACTTATTGGCTGTTGGCACTGTTTAAGAGTTGCATGGATGTTCGGAAAGCGAAAAGGGAACACATGAAATTTTGGGGGTGTTGTCGTCATCCGCGCTCCCTTTGTCACGAAACCCCGTGATGCCTCCTTGGTGTTGAAACCCACACAGGCAAACACACACACAAGCTGTGAAATGCAGCCAGCGCCACCGCCACCGCCAGCGCCTCCTGAGCACCATGGTAACGCATCCCATGACAGCAGTTTGGGTCCGCTCCGGATTCTAGTCCGAAGTATAAGGATCTTTCTGTCTTTCTTTCCCCCTCTTCCTTCTTTTTTGATTTCAGAAAGAGAGAAAGAGGGAAAGAGAGAAGGAAGGATGGAAGCAAGGAGTGAAGGAAGGAAGGAAAGAGGTAGAGAAGGAAGAAAGGAGAGAAAGGAAGGAAAGAAAGAAAAAAAGAGGGAGCAAAGGAAGGAGGAAGGAGGAAAGGATGGAGAGAAAGAGGAAAGGAAAGAAAGAAGGAAAGAGAAAAGGATGGAAGTAAAGAACGAAGGAAGGAAGGAAGGAAGGAAAGAGGTAGAGAAGGAAGAAAGGAGAGAAAGGAAGGAAAAGATAAAGGCAGGCAGGAAGGAAAGAGGTGAAGGAAGGAAGGAGAGAAGGAAAGAAAAAGAAAGGAAGGAAAGAGGGAGCAAAGGAAGGAGGGAAGGAAAGAGAGAAAGAGGAGAGAAGGAAAAAAAGGAAAGAGAGAAGGAAGGATGGAAAGAGGTAGGGAAGGAAGAAAGGAGAGAAAGAAATGAAAAGATAAAGGCAGGCAGGAAGGAAAGAGGTTCAGGAAGGAAGGAGGGAAAGAAGGAGAGAAAGAGGGAGGGAAGGAAAGAAGGAAAGAGAGAAGAATGGAAGCAAAGAGTGAAGGAAGGAAGGAAAGAGGTCACGAAGGAAGAAAGGAGAGAAAGGAGGAAAGAAGAAGGGGAGGAAGAAAGAGGTAGAGAAGGAAGGAGAAGGAAGGAAAGAAAAAGAAAAGGGAGGAAAGAGGGAAAAGGAAGGAGGAATGAAGGAGAGAAAGAGAGAGGAAGGAAAGAGGGAAGAGAGAAGGAAGGAGGAAAGAAGAGAGGAAGGAAGGAAGGAAGTGAATCCTCCAATAGGTAAGATATATACATTAGATAGAGAGAGGTAGGTAGATAGATTGATCAGGAGGACTGCTGGGAGTTGCAGTCCAAGAATAAGAGAGAAGGAAGGAAGGAGAGAAAGAAAAAGGGAGGTGAAGGAAAGAAGGAAAGAAAAAAGGAAGGAAGGAAAGAGGAAGGAAGGAAGGAAGGAAGGAAGGAAGGAAGGAAGGAAGGAAGGAAGGAAGGAAGGAAGGAGCAAAAGAAGGAGGGAAGGAGAGAAGGAAGGGGAGAAGGAAGGAGAGAAGGAAGAAAGAGAAGGAAGGAAAGAAGGAAGGGAGGGAAGCAAAAAGGAAGGAGAGAAGAGAAGGAAAAGGAGGAAGGAAGGAAAGAGGAGAAAAGGGAAGAAAGGAGAGAAAGGAAAGAAGAAAGGGGAAGGAAGAAAGGTAGAGAAGGAAGGAAGGAGAGAGGAAAGAAAAAAAGGAAAAGAAAGAAAGAGGGAGGAAGGAAAGAGAGAAGGAAGGAAGAAGGAGAGAAAGGAAGAAAGAAAGAAAAAGGGGGAAGGAAGGAAAGAGATAAGGAAGGAAGAAGGAAAGAAAAAAGAGAGGAAGGAAAGAGGGAGCATAGGAAGGAGGGAAAGGAGAGAAAGAGGGAGGGAAGGTGGGCCACAGCAACAAGTGGCGGGTACAGCTAATAATAATAATAATAATAATAATAATAATAATAATAATAATAATAATAATAATAGAGACATGGGTGTTCCTCTCTTACCTCTTTTTCGGAGATGTAGAGCTGCTCCCCTTTGAGGACCACATAACGGTTCTTCCAGATCTCCCGAAAAATGCCCTTTCCGCAGAATTTCCGGACCCAGCCGACTTTTTCGGGTTGTGCCGGCTGCTGGTTGGCATCCTGGAGCCCCTTCTCCATGGGAAGAAGAAGGAAAGAGAGAAAGGAAGAGGCACACACAAAGGGAAGGAGAAAGGAAGAAAGGAAGGGTTAACAAGGAGGCTTTGTTTTGGTTCCTGCAGCCCTTCCTCCCTACGGTTGCATTCAGACTGCAAGATCACACTCGGGCATCTCCTGGGGACGATGGGCTCCCTTTGATGCCCAAGCCTTTCCCATTCATTTCAGGATCCCGATTCCTTCCCAAAGGATGAAGTGGGCCAGGGAAATCAATATCGCAAAGCCATAACCTTCTGCTAGCCTTCGGATGGACATTATATAAGACTAATAAATATACTTTATCCTCTGCTTTGATCAATATGGTGATGATGATGATGATGATGATGATGATGATGATGAAGATGATGATGATGATGATGATCGGGATGAACGTTATATAAGAAAACATTGTCCTGATCCTAATAAATGCCATTTATCTTCTGCCTATTATTATAATATTATTATCATTATCATTATTATTATTATTATTATTATTATTATTATTATTATTATTATCATTATATTATTATTATCATCATTATCATATTATTATTATTATTATTATTATTATTATTTATACCCCACTTTATCTCTCCTGCAGGATCAATATTATTATGCTTCTTGTTGTTGTTGTTGTTGACATAAGAAGACATGGCCCTGATCCTAATAAATGCCATTTATCTTCTGTCTATTATTATTATATTATAATAATAATTATTATATATTATATTATTATGTATACCCTGCTTTATCTCTCCTGCAGGATCAATATTATTATGCTTGTTGTTGTTGTTGTTGTTGTTGTTGACATAGGAAGACATGGCCCTGATCCTAATAAATGCCATTTATCTTCTGCCTATATTATGATGATGATGATGATTATTATTATTATCATAATCATCATCATTATATTATATTATTATGTATACCCCACTTTCCTGCTTTATCTCTCCCACAGAATGATGATGATGATGATTACTATTATTATTATATAAGAAGACATCGTCCTGCTCCTAATACATGCCATTTATCCTCTGCATAGATCATCATCATTATTATTATTATTATTATTATTATTATTATTATTATTATTATACCCTGCTTTATATCTCTTGCAGGATCAATATTATTATGCTTATTACTGTTGTTGTTATTAATATTATTATTAATATCCCGCTTTAACTCTCCTACAGGATCAATATGATGATGATGATGATTATTATATAAAAATACATAGTCCTTATCCTATTAAATGCCATTTATCCTCTGCCTAGATCATTATTATTATTATTATTATTATTATTATTATTATTATATTTATACCCTGCTTTATATCTCTTGCAGGATCAATACTATTATGCTTATTTTTATTGTTGTTGTTGTTGTTGTTGTTGTTGTTATTATTATTATTATTATTATTATTATTATTATTATTATTATTATTATTATTATGATCCAAAGGCCCTCCAGGCCTGGTTTCCCATGTTATTTACAGGGCCAATTTTAGCTCAAGGCCATTCTTTCTCACTTCCTTCTCTGTTGCTTTCCATCCTCTCCTCGTTCCCCAATGACTATTGCATTAAATTAAATTAAATTAAAAATAAATCCAGACAGCTTAGAGAACAATTGTTGACAGGGAGGAAGAAGGGATGCCGAAGGAAGGAAAGAAGGGATGAGAAAAGAAAAGAAAACAGTGACCACACATTATCCCCATCCCCAATTCCTGGAGAATAAATAGAAGGAGGGAAGGAAGGAAGGATGAGAAGGAGGAAAAGAAAACAATGACCACACATTCTCCCCATCCCCAATTCCTGGAGAATATATAGAAGGAGGGAAGGAAGAAGGGATGAGAAGGAGGAAAAGAAAACACTGACCACACATTATCCCCATCCCCAATTCCTGGGGAATAAATAGAAGGAGGGAAGGAAGAAGGGATGAGAAGGAGGAAAAGAAAACCATGACCACACATTATCTCCATCCCCAATATCTGGAGAATAAATAGAAAGATAAACAAAAGAAGGGAAGGGAGAAAAGGATGAGAAGGAGGAATAGAAAACAATGACCAGATATTATCTCCAGCCCCAATTCCTGGAGAATAAATAGAAAGAGGGAAAGAAGGAGGGAAGGAAAGAAGGAAAGAAGAAAAGAAGGAAGGAAGGAAGGAAGGAAGGGAAGGAGGAAAAGAAGACAATGACCACACATTATCCCCATTCTTAATATTTAGAGAATAAATACAGAGAGGGAGAGAAGGAAGGAAGGAAGAAAGAGAAGGAGGAAAAGAAAACAATGATCACACATTATCCCCATCCTTAATATCTAGAGAATAAATACAGAGAGGGAGGGAGAGAAGGAAGGAAGGAAGGAAGAAGGAAGGAAAGAAGGAAGGAAAGAAGGAAGGAGAAGAAGGAAGGAAGGAAGGCTGGGGAATAAATAGAAGGAGGGAAGGAAGAAGGGATGAGAAGGAGGAAAAGAAAACCATGACCACACATTATCTCCATCCCCAATATCTGGAGAATAAATAGAAAGATAAACAAAAGGAGGGAAGGGAGAAAAGGATGAGAAGGAGGAATAGAAAACAATGACCAGATATTATCTCCAGCCCCAATTCCTGGAGAATAAATAGAAAGAGGGAAAGAAGGAGGGAAGGAAAGAAGGAAAGAAGAAAAGAAGGAAGGAAGGAAGGAAGGAAGGAAGGAAGGAAGGAAGGAAGAGAAGGAGGAAAAGAAGACAACGATCACACATTATCCCCATCCTTAATATCTAGAGAATAAATACAGAGAGGGAGGGAGAGAAGGAAGGAAGGAAGGAAGGAAGGAAGGAAGGAAGGAAGGAAGGAAGGAAGGAAGGAAGGAAGGAAGAGGAAGGAAGAAGGGATGAGAAGGAGAAAAAGAAAACAATGACCAGACATTATCTCCAGCCCCAATTCCTGGAGAATAAACAGAGAGAGGGAGAGAAGGAAAGAAGGATGAGAAGGAGGAAAAGAAAACAATGATCAGACATAATCCTCATCCCCAATTCCTAGAGAATAAATAGAGGGAGAGAAGGATGAGAAGGAGGGAAAGAAAACAATGACCAAATACTATCTCCATCCCCAGTTCCTGGAGAATAAATAAAGTGAGGGAAGGAAGGAAGAGAAGGAGAAAAAGCAAACAATCACCACATATTACCCCCATCCCCAAATCCCAGAGAATAAATAAAAAGAGGGAGAGAAGGAAAGAAAGAAGGGAAGGAGGGAAAGAAAACAATGACCACACATTATCCTCATCCCCAATTCTTGGAGAATAAACAGAAAGAGGGAGAGAAGGAAGGATGAGAAGGAGGAAAAGAAAACAATGAGCACACATTTATCTCCATCCCCAGTTCCGAGAGAATAAAAGAAGGAAGGAAGGAAGGAAGGAAGGAAGGAAGGAAGGAAGGAAGGAAGGAAGGAAGGAAGGAAGGAAGGAAAGAAGGGATGAGGAGGAGGAAAAGAAAACAATGACCACACATCCATCTCCCTCATTGTGATATTATTATTATTATTATTATTATTGTTATTGTTGTTGTTGTTGTTGTTGTTATTATTATTTTACTGACACAAATACACAGTATGATACTTTATCATCACCATCATCATTATTTTACTAACACAAAACAGTATGACACCTTATATTATTATTTGAAACAATAGAGAGTGTCACACTGTGTCTTTGTGTACAAATAAAATAATAATAATAATAATAATAATAATAATAATAATAATAATAATATATGGTCAGTGTAGAGTGATATAACACAGTTTCATACTGCATTATATTTTTACTGACACAAAGACACAGTATGACACTTTATATTATTATTATTATTATTATTATTATTATTATTATTATTATTATTATCCCATCATCCCTTCCCTTTATATTATTATTATTATTATTATTATTATTATTATTTTCCCATCATCCCTTCTCTTAATAATGTAAAGGGAAGGGATGATGGGAAAATAATAATAATAATAATAATAATAATAATAATAATAATAATAATAATAATAATAATAATATAAAGGGAAGGGATGATGGGAAAATAATAACAATAACAATAATAATATAAAGGGAAAGGATGGTGGGAAAATAATAATAATAATAATAATAATAATATAAAGGGAAGGGATGATGGGAAAATAATAACAATAATAATAATAATAATATAAAGGGAAGGGATGATGGGAAAATATAACAATAATAATAATAATAATATAAAGGGAAGAGATGATGGGAAAATAATAACAATAATAATAATAATAATATAAAGGGAAGAGATGATGGGAAAATAATAACAATAACAATAATAATATAAAGGGAAAGGATGGTGGGAAAATAATAATAATAATAATAATAATAATAATAATAATAATATAAAGGGAAGGGATGATGGGAAAATAATAATAATAATAATATAAAGGGAAGGGATGATGGGAAAATAATAACAATAATAATAATAATAATAATAATAATATAAAGGGAAGGGATGATGGGAAAATAATAATAATAATAATAATAATAATAATAATATAAAGGGAAGGGATGATGGGAAAATAATAATAAAATAATAATAATAATAATAATAATATAAAGGGAAGGGATGATGGGAAAATAATAACAATAACAATAATAATATAAAGGGAAAGGATGGTGGGAAAATAATAATAATAATAATAATAATAATAATAATATAAAGGGAAGGGATGATGGGAAAATAATAACAATAACAATAATAATATAAAGGGAAAGGATGATGGGAAAATAATAATAATAATAATAATAATAATAATAATAATAATATAAAGGGAAGGGATGATGGGAAAATAATAATAATAATAATAATAATAATATAAAGGGAAGGGATGATGGGAAAATAATAATAATAATAATAATAATAATAATAATAATAATAATAATATAAAGGGAAGGGATGATGGGAAAATAATAACAATAACAATAATAATATAAAGGGAAAGGATGGTGGGAAAATAATAATAATAATAATAATAATAATAATAATATAAAGGGAAGGGATGATGGGAAAATAATAATAATAATAATATAAAGGGAAGGGATGATGGGAAAATAATAACAATAACAATAATAATATAAAGGGAAAGGATGGTGGGAAAATAATAATAATAATAATAATAATAATATAAAGGGAAGGGATGATGGGAAAATAATAATAATAATAATATAAAGGGAAGGGATGATGGGAAAATAATAACAATAACAATAATAATATAAAGGGAAAGGATGGTGGGAAAATAATAATAATAATAATAATAATAATAATAATATAAAGGGAAGGGATGATGGGAAAATAATAACAATAACAATAATAATATAAAGGGAAAGGATGGTGGGAAAATAATAATAATAATAATAATAATAATAATAATATAAAGGGAAGGGATGATGGGAAAATAATAACAATAACAATAATAATATAAAGGGAAAGGATGGTGGGAAAATAATAATAATAATAATAATAATAATATAAAGGGAAGGGATGATGGGAAAATAATAACAACAATAATAATAATATAAAGGGAAAGGATGGTGGGAAAATAATAATAATAATATTAATAATAATATAAAGTGTCAAACTGTGTCTTTGTGTCAGTAAAATAATAATAATAATAATAATATAAAGGGAAGAGATGATGGGATAATAATAATAATAATAATATTCCCACCACCCTCTCCCTCTTTCTTATTCTATCTAGTATTTGCAATCCTTTGGCGAATCCCAGTCTGAATTGTGGGGCTGGTTAGAGCCCGACAAATCATAATAACAAATCCCACTCACCCGCTTGGCAGAATTGTTCTTCTTCATCCTTCCCCCAAAATAGGCTTGTTTGTGTTGGGGATGATGGGCTTTGTTGGGAGGATGATGGGATCCAGAGAAGGAGATTAATCCTAGGCAGCGTCCAGAAGAAGCCTTTGCAAGAGGAACAATTAACGCACAATAATAAGAGAGAGAGAAAAAAGAGGAATTGCTTCTCTTCCTCTCCTCCTTTCTTCCCTTTTTCTCCTTCTTCTTTTCCTCCCTAAAAGAAAGGGGGAAAGTCTTGGAATTGCTGAAGGGCCGGTGGGGTTGGGGGATGTCCAGACATCTCTGGAGAAAGAAGAGGAACCCGTCAATCAATCAATCCATCAATCTTCTCCTCCTCCTCCTCCTCCTCTTTTCCCCACTCTCCTTTCTTTCTTTCTCTCTGTCTCCTTCCTTTCTTCCTTTCTGGCTCTCCTGCTGGACTCTGCAGCCCCATCTATGGCCAGCCCAGGTTGTGACGTCCTCAGAGTTCACCAGGATTATTAATTTCTTCTTCTCTTTTTTTTCCTCCCTCCCCAAAAAAAAGGGGGAAGGGAGAAATTGGAGGAGGGACGAAAAGAGGGAGGGAGGGAAGGAGGGATGGAAAGGAAAGTGGGGAGGAGGGGGCCAAAGAAGAGGGGGCTGAAAGGGAAAGCAGGAAGGGAGGAGGGGGGGGGGAAACAAGAGGGAGGTCCCCTCTTCTTTGTTTGAGACCCCCTGGGATCTAGGGAAAGGGGGAAGAAGGAAAAGAAGAGGGAGGAGGAGAGAAGGAAACACACCATCTGCAAGGATGGAGGGGTTGGTGGAGGAGGAAGGAGGGAAGGCAAAGGTGGAGGAGAGAATCAGAGGGATGGAAAGGATGGTTGCAGAGGAGAGGAAGAAGGGAAGAAGTGAAAGAGAGGGAAGAATGGAAAGAAAGAGGGTGAAGAGGAGAGGAAGAAGGGAAGGAAGAAATGGAGGAGAGAATCAGAGGGATGGAAAGATTGATTTCAGAGGAAAGGAAGAAGGGAAGGGGAAATGGAAAGAAAGAAGATGAAGGGGTTGATTGGAGAGGAAGAAGGGAAGGAAGAAGTGAAAGAGAGGGAAGAATGCAAAGAAAGAGAATGATGAGATTGATTGCAGAGAAGAGGAAGAAGGGAAGGAAAAATGGAGGAGAGAATCAGGGGGATGAAGAGGTTGATTGCAGAGGAGAGGAAGAAGGAAAGGGAAAAATGGAAAGAAAGAAGATGAAGAGGTTGATTGAATAGGAAGAAGGGACAAAAGAAGTGAAAGAGAGGGAAAAATGGAAAGAAAGAATGATGAGATTGATTGCAGTGAAGAGGAAGAAAGGAAGGAAAAAATGGAGGAAAGGATCGGGGGATGAAGAGGTTGATTGGAGAGGAAGAAGGGATGAAAGAAGTGAAAGAGAGGGAAGAATGGAAAGAAAGAAGAAGGAAGAAGTGGAAGAAAGGGAAGAATGGAAAGAAAGAGAATGGTGAGATTGATTGCAGAGAAGAGGAAGAAGGGAAGGAAAAAATGGAGGCGAGCATCAGGGGATGAAGACGTTGATTGCAGAGGAGAGGAAAAAAGGAAGGGAAAATGGAAAAAAAGAAGATGAAGAGGTTGAATGGAGAGGAAGAAGGGAAGGAAGAAGTGAAAGAGAGGGAAGAATGGAAAGAAAGAAGACAGGGAAGAATGGAAAGAAAGAGAATGATGAGATTGATTGCAGAGAAGAGGAAGAAGGGAAGGAAAAATGGAGGAGAGAATCAGGGGGATGAAGAGGTTGATTGCAGAGGAGAGGAAGAAGGAAAGGGAAAAATGGAAAGAAAGAAGATGAAGAGGTTGATTGAATAGGAAGAAGGGACAAAAGAAGTGAAAGAGAGGGAAAAATGGAAAGAAAGAATGATGAGGTTGATTGGAGAGGAGAGGAAGAAGGGAAGGAAGAAATGGAGGAGAGAATCAGAGGGATAGAGATGCTGATTGAAGAAGGGAAGGAAGAACGAGAAGAATGCAAAGATAGAGGATGGATAGGTTGATTGAAGCAGAAGAGGGGAAAGAAGGAATGGAGAAAAGAAGATAATGTAAAGAAAGAGGAGAGCCTCAGAAGGATGGAGAGGTTGATTGCAGAGGAGAGGAAGAAGGGAAGGAAGAAGGGAAGGAGACAGAAGGATACAAGGAAAGAGGATGAAAAGGTTGATTGAAGAGGAAGAAATGGAGGAAAGAGGAGAATGCAAAGAAGGAGAAGAGAATCATAGGATGGAGAGGTTGATTGAAAAGGAGAGGAAGAAAGGAAGGGGAGGGAAGAATAGAAAAAGGAAACAATACCAAGGGATGAAGAGGTTGATTGCAGAGGAGAGGAAGAAGGGAAGGAAAAAGTGAAGGAGAGGGAAGAATGCAAAGAGAGGATGACAAGAAAGGAAGACAGGGAAAAAGTGGGGTGGGGGGGAGGAGAAGGCAAAGAAAGGGGATGAAAAGGTTGATAGAAAAGGAAGAAGGGAAGGAAAAAGTGGGGGAGAGAGGAGAATACAGAGAAAGAATGGAGAGGTTGATTGAGGAGGAAGGAAAAGAAGAAGTGGAGGAGAGAAAAGAAGGGAAAGAAAGGAGAAATAAAACAAACCTTCAAACATTTCAAGCTGCAATCCTAGGCAGTCAAGGAATCTCGGGAGCCATTTGGGAGGGGAAATACACAACAAAAACTCCTCTTGCAGCCATTGAAACGTGCTGAGGATCAAGGCGGAAGGAGGAGAGAGAAGCCGGGACATTTTAAAAGCAGCTGGGGAAAAGGGAAGGCAGAGGATTACACGTCCTTACCAAAATTGTGACAGTTTCCACCTCCAAATCAGTAAGACTGGAATGGGAAAGGGGAGACCTTGGAGAGGGAACAAGTAACACAAACCCAGAGGATGGAATGGATGCAGATAGAGACATCCTCCCTCAAGCTTGTATTTATCTCCCTCCCGGGACATTCCTGTCCATGCCATTTTCTCACTGCTTCGGAGGGATAAATCAGCAGTTCTTAAAATACCTTTCGCACCAGCCTTGAATTCCCTGTTTCCGTCACACAACGTGCAACGTTTTGCCGGAGGGGAGTGCTTCGCGGCTTCCGAAAATGCACAAAGTTTCGTGTTGTTTCCATCGGGGCAAATCAGGTCTTTGCAGCCAAGTGGTTTGAGGGCACCGAGGCCAAACATCAGATCATCTCTTGTGCAATGCAGGCAACACAAGTGTGAAGGCTTTGGGGAGGTTTTCACAAGGATTATATAAGAACATAACTGCAGCCATATTGGATCGGGCCCAAGAGGGTGATAATGGTGATGATAATTATGTGATGATGGTTGGTGACAGTGATAATGATGATGTTTGGTGATAATGGTGAAAAGTTGGTGATAATGGTAATAGTGATAATGGTGATGCTGATGGTTGGTGATGATGAGGGCAATAATGGTGATAGTGATGATGATAGTTGGTAATAATGGTGACAGTGATGATGATAATAGTGATGGTTGGTGATAATGGTGAAAAGTTGGTGATAGTTGTAATAGTCATGATGATGGTGATAAGTTGGTGATAATGGTAATAGTGAGAATGGTGATGCTGATGGTTAGTGATGATAATGAGGGCAATAATGGTGATAGTGATGATGATGATAGTTGGTAATAATGATAACATGATGACGATAATAGTGATGGTTGGTGATAATGGTGATAAGTTGGTGATAATGGTAACCGTCATGATGATGGCGATAGTGATAATGGTGATGCTGATAATGAGGGCAATAATGGTGATAGCGATGATGATTATGATAGTTGGTAATAAAGGTGACAGTGATGATTATAATGGCGATGATGATGTTGATGGCTGGTGATGATAGTAATGATGGTGATCGTGATGATAACAATGATGCTGATGGTTGGTGATAATGCTGGTGATGATGGCGATTATGGTGGTGATAATGATTGTGATAATGGTGACAGTGATGACAATAATGGTGATGATAATGATGCTACCAATGTAATGGTGGTTGGTGATGATGATAATAGTGACAGTGATTATGATAATGGTGATGTTGGTGATAATTGTGATAAGTCATGATGATGACAATAAGTTGGTGATAATGGTGATAGTGATGATAATGGTGATGCTGATGGCTGGTGATAATGGTGATAGTGATGTCGATAGTGATAAGTTGGTGATAGTGATGATAATGGTGATGCTGATGGTTGGTGATAATGAGGGTGATGATGGCAATAGCAATGACGATAATAGTTGGTTATGATAATGGTGATGCTGCTGCTGGTTGGTGATAATGATGGTGATAGTGATTATGGTGACAATGGTGATTGTGATTATAACGGTGATGCTGATGATTGGTGATAATGATGGTGATAGTGATCATGGTGATCGTGATTATAACAGTGATGCTGATGGTTGGTGATAATGATGGTGATAGTGATGATGGTGATTGTGATTATAACGGTGATGCTGATGGTTGGTGGTAATGATGGTGATAGTGGTGATGGTTGGTTGTTATGGTGGTGATAATGATTGTGATAATTGTGATAGTGATGACAATAATAGTGATAATAATGGTGGTTGGTGGTGATAATGGTGATGAAAATAACTGTTGATGCTGCTGAAAATGATGATGGTGATGTTAATGGTGATAGGAGCGATAATTATGATGGTGGTAAAGATGGTAATATGAAAACAAAAACAAAAAAACCCCAAAATGTCTATCCTAAAGCCAAATCATAGTATCCTCAGAGTCCGTACAGAGTGCTAACTCCTTGTTTTGGGAACTCTGCCTGTCTCCTACCCAATGTAAACATCACACGAAATACGTGTACAACACTCATACTGAAAATGCAACAATTGTGTTTTGCTTCTGCGTTCTTTTTCGACCCCACTTCTGCATTCTCGGTTACCACTTCTGCCTTCTTTGCACCGATCCAAAAACAGACGACATTTGCAAATGTCAATCTTTGCAAACTTCACCTTTCTGCTCACCATCACTATTTAAAAAGCCGTCTTAATGCAAATTTGTTTGTTTGTTTATTTGGAGGAATTAGTAACACAATGCCTGGAATTAAGACGATCACACGATTTAGGGAATACATAATTTAATCTCAGAAGAATTGGGTCCACGGAGTGAATGTTTCCGGGTGGCTTCGGCCATTCGTCCGCTTCCTCCCCTTCCAGACCTTGGGAAACTACAACTCCCGGGATTTCGTTGCATTGATTATGATGATATACTTATTTTAATGTTTGGAGGAACAATGAATGTGTCCAGGAATGGGTCACGATGGAGGGAGACACAACCAATGTCCGGAGGGATATATATACAATGGATGTCCATCACGCCTAAATGGGCCAAAGAGGAAACGATGGGGCTCAAGGAAGGGTCAGTTGACCCTCCGCGTGGCTGTCCTGGCGGTCATTGGAACCGTCTCCGGACCTCGGCCTCGGAATCCGGACGACGAAACTTCTTCCAGGAAACTGCGGGAAAGGAAAGAACATTTTGGGTAAATGCATCTTAGCGTTGAAAGGGACCCCCAAAGGCCATCCAGTCCATTCCCATTCTATCAGGAAGGAATACACCAAAGCCCTCCCGACAGATGGTCATCTAGCCTCTCCTCAATAATAATAATAATCATAGAATCATAGAATCAAAGAGTTGGAAGAGACCTCCTGGGC